TGGGCCTAACAAATGAATTGCTTGAGGAGCATAAAAAAGAATGGACAAGAACTGGTTGCACTATTATGTCAGATGGATGGAGTGACAAAAAACGACGATCAATAGTGAATTTTTTGGTGAATAGTCCCATGGGAACAGTTTTTTTATCATCAATTGATACATCTGATTTTTCAAAAACTGCTGAAAAAGTTTTTGAGATGTTAGATGATATTGTTGAGAAAGTGGGGGAAGAAAATGTTGTGCAGATTATTACAGACAATGCTGCTAATTATAAAGCTGCAGGAGAGATGTTAATGGAGAAAAGGAAAACAATATTTTGGACACCTTGTGCGGCACACTGCATTGATTTAATGTTGGAGGATTTTGAGAAAAAATTAGAGATCCACAGAGATACAATTTACAAGGGAAAAAGGGTAACAATTTTCATCTATTCAAGAACTTTACTTATTTCCTTGATGAAGCAGTTTACCAAAGGTAGGGATTTAATTAGACCAGCTGCCACTCGTTTTGCTACCTCATATCTTACTTTGGGGTGCCTCAATGAATTGAAGGGTGCATTGGTGTCCATGTTTTCCTCCACTAAATGGAAACAAAGTAAGTATTCAAAAATGAAAGATGGAAAGTTTGTGGAGAAAGTGGTTTTGGATCCAAATTTTTGGAAGAATATTACTACATGTTTAAAGGCTGCAAATCCACTCATTAAGGTGCTTCGTTTGGTGGACTCTGATGAGAAGCCGGCCATGCCTTTCATTTATGAAGAGGTGGATCGCTGCAAGGAAAAGATTCAAGAAAATTTTAAGAAGGTCAAGAAAAGGTATGATTAATTGTTTATTTAATACAATTAATTATTTAAATTTTAATATTCAATTGTTTTTAACATGCCTTCTTTTTTTCTTTTCTTTTTTTTTTTTTTTAAGTTATGAGCCTATTTGGAAAATTATCGATGATAGATGGGCATCTCAACTCCATAGACCATTGCATGCAGCAGCATATTTTCTGAATGCTCATCTTCGTTTTGATCCAAATCCTGAAAACAATTACAAAGTTGATATGGAAGTTAAAAGGGGTTTTTATGACTGCTTGGAAAGGATGGTGTTGAATCAAGACGAAAGGAATAAAATTGATTCTCAAATTGATTTTTTCAAGGCTCGTAAGGGATTATTTGGAAGTACTCAAGCAAGAAATATGTGGAATAAGAAATCTCCAGCTGATTGGTGGGAGTCTTACGGAGATGAATATCCTGAATTGCAGCGTTTTGCAATTCGAATTCTTAGTTTGACTTGCAGTTCATCTGGTTGTGAACGTAATTGGAGTGCTTTTGAGATGGTAAAATTTTATTATCCTTTAAATTTAATTTAATTAATACTTAGTTTTTTACATTGTTATTTCTTAATTTTTATTAATATTTTATAACAAATGGATTGTTATAGGTTCATACAAAAAGGAGAAATCGTCTACATCAAAAGAAAATGAATGATTTAGTGTTTGTTATGTGCAACTTAAAATTGAAAGACAAACAAGTGAGGAAGAAAGTTGAGTTAGATGATGTCTCTTCAGATGACGAATGGCTAGCTGATTTCCAAACAAATGAAGAATTAATAGATCCTGAAAGTGAAGATGACATGGAAGATGATTTTGTAGAAGATGGCAATGAAGATGAATTGGAGAACCATGATTCATTGGAGACCACTTTTTTTAATGATGAGGATGATGAGGAAAATCAAGATATAGAAGCCGAAGAAAATGATGATATGGAGGATGATTTTTGAGTTGTTATTTTTATTTTTTTTACCATATGCAATTATTGTTAGCCTTTAAATTATATTATGAACTATTAAGTATTAAGTACTTCATATTTAAAATTTTAAATATTTCATTTTAGACTTATTTCATCAATGAACAAATTTAACAATTTATTTTAAAACGTTTACATAGTTTATAATTTTTTGTTAAATTTGCTAGGATCTTACGATCCTATTTGCGATCTTACGATTTGCGATCTCATCT